ACTGTGTTGTATATGTATTAGCACATTAATCCTGTAACACAGATTTCTTTCAGAAAGAATCCTATTAATTCCACAGAAGCAAATACCACCAGTGCATCACTCAGGAGAATGTTTTGAATCAGAAGATCTGGAGGCTCTCATTTCAATTCTCCTCTTCTATATATTCATCATAAATAGGATGCAGTTTAATTTGGGGATTTGCTGCTGTGGAATTAATAGGATTCTTTCTGAAAGAAATCTGTGTTACAGGATTAATGTGCTGATCGCTGGGCTACTAATAAAAGATGATTAAGTATTGAAATTTACTTATGCTCTTCTTCTCTATCTTGTTAAAGTTAATTTTTCCTGTATAAATCTATTCACCATTTTCTGGCATTGACAGTACTTAATTTTCTTACTACTTTGAATGTATAAGCAGTTGCAAGGTTGCTTTTAAAACAGTGCAACTTAAATTTAGCAGCATTCAATGGGATATATGCAGCAGTATCTGCAGCAAACGACAGTGAAACCAAAATTATGGCATACATACATTATGCAGATGCCACCTACTTGCATCTCAATATCTGTTGTTTGTACATAAGTTGGCATTTGCATGTCAACATGACACGCATTTTGCCATCTCCTGCCATGTCCTTGCAAATGCCCACGTATACATGTTTCTGTATAAGATCTTAATTACATTTATTTGGAAGAAAATCCTACTGATTTCATGGGAATACCCTTCCAAATAAAGTTTCTAACATTTCTGGGTTAAGTCTTTTGGGAGTTTCTATCTGCCAAATTCTTGGCTATCTAGCAAATGCTACATAATCATTCTTATAAAATTAGGAAACCATTCCTTGTTGTCTTTTCCTCTAAATATGGGATGCAGTTTTGGGGGGAAGAAAAAAAGGCTTTATTCAGACATTAAAATTTGTGGCCAGTAAATTACATTCTGCTTTATCAAAGAATAAACTGCTTAAATTCTTCTTTTTCCCTTGCGCACCTGGCTATAATTTTTTATATCCTGGATAGTTACATGTCATACTTTAACAAGCAGTGGTTCTAAGCTGCAAAGTTTAAGTCACATTACCTTTGTTTGGAACCCAGGGGAAATTGAACAGACAGGTCAGCCTCAAAAATGAGTATACAAAAGGGAGTAGCAAAATGATGGAATCTTTTATGTTATTAGACTATTCATTTTGCACTTGATTTGTTTGTCTGAATTGGGCCATTATTTTTCGGGAACCAAAATGAAGGTTCTGTTATTACTTTATGTTTGTGAAATGCACTTCTGAATAAGCTTGAAGCAATTGTTGGCTTATGTTCACCCATCTGATTTGTTTTTTTATCTCTTACGGGGAGCATGGCAGGACTGATGGAATGAATGCAAGCATTCTTGTGCTCTATTCATTCCTTTGTCTATCCATACCTCCTTTTCACTATAGAGGTGTGAAAATTTTATTTGCAGTTTTGTAAAGAATGAGTATAAAACTGGATGGCGTATTGTTTGGCCCACATCTGTTTGAAATATATATATATATATATAAGACCAAGAACTAGAAGCAACTGCAGTTAGTCATGCAATTCAGATGTCACCAAATGAATCTAATGAACCTTGTTTGTACATGGTATGAATGTGTTATGTAACTGGCTTAATAAAATGGATGGAATAGTGATTTTATTGCTGAAATACCTGGGATGAACTTAAATTGTTAAGAAACTTGAATCAGACTCCAACCTTTTTCCAATTATCCATAATACTAAGTCACAAAACAATATTGAGGAATGGAATTCCACTCAATTGTATTTCTTGATTGGACTATATAACATGTCAATATTGATTCTGAAATAAATCTTTATGTATTGGGAAGATAGATTATTAGATGGTAAAGGAAGATTCCTGCAGTATTATCCTGTTCTTGGAATGTGGTGTGCTGAGAAAGATGCCTTTGGAATTATTTTTAAATTTTGTAATAACCCAAATGTTTTACAATGACTTCACCATTGCCATTCATTGGTATATTCACAGGGTCAGAAGGACATTAAATTAGTATGTCTATACAATCCAATTGAAGCATTTAAATTTGTGGCCACCTTTCTTTTACCTCTATACTTGAAAAAGTTATCTTTTAAAAGACTAGCTAAAGTTTTTAGGGGGGAGAGTAATTTTAATAAATGATCTGTCCTTGGTTTTTGGTTTTTTTGAAGGTACTTAATTCTGGTTGGTATTGTGATGAGAGAAAATAAAAATGGTTGTTTCCTTCTAAAACGTGTACTATCTTTATTACGCTCCACATTTTGCAGCAGAAAACATCTAAGTAGATGTTTCAGCAATATGCTTAATAATTGGTTTAAGGCTTATATTAATAAACGAAAGTAAATCAACGAGTCCTTTTCCTAGGGCTACTTAAAAGTTCGCCCTGTCTTTTGTACTCTACTTTCTATCATTCAAGAGCGATTCGGTTTGCTCATCCTTAAGCGAGGAACTTATCTTCGACTAGGAACAAAAGTTAGACGGTACTGCTGGTAAGGAGCGCGTTTCTGGAGGGATGCGGTAGTGGTTGGACCTGGTGTCTTAGCCAACGTGTCCCGGGTGGGGTCTTGACCGGCAAGTCGGCAGGATGTTGCTTTCTCGACGCAAGTCGACTATGTATCGCCGGGCGGGAGGCGGCGGCGGGGGCGGCGGCAGGTAAGTGTCAGTAAAATATGAACGAGAGGAATCAGCTCGAGAAGATAATTGAGAGATGCCATGGTAGAAGCAAGCCTCAATGGTTGCTCCTCTCTCGGGACTCAGAGCGATTCGCTTAAATTTCTGAAGCTCTGTAAAAGGACTATGAATCAGAATCTGTGACATGGGTTGGATATGATTCTGTCGGGCATTTAAAACATAAAAACGCTTAATAACTGGGGAACCAATGCTTTGCGGAATGGATTGGCTTTTGGTGTGTGTGGTGGATTTTTGTTTGCATACAAAATAGCTTATTCTAGTGAAGAAATGAATGAGAAAGCTGCAACAGCGGCTATGTGAGCCAGTGCCAGAGTGCCATTGCATATAGGGGAAAGATTGAGAGAAAAGCATAGAAGCTGCCCTATTCTTTACCCCACATTCCAAAACCTTTTAAGCAAGTTATGGAACAGGAACAAAAAAAAACGGCCGGTTGTGCAAACTTCCTTTGTTTCCCAAGTGAATGGCAGCCCTGCTGCAGATGTGAAGCCATAAGAGAAAGAGTTTTAAAGTTGTAGGGCAAAATATTGGCAAGCCTCAAATATATAATCCTGGGTCTCATGTATATCCCTGTGAAAAAGAGATAATTTCAGATGATTATGAGGGAATAGGTTGGATTATGAGGACTGATTTTTCAGTATACATATACATGCATATATATCTAGCCTATACCTAGGCAGCAGCTTGAAAAAGGATGCATTTGGTTTTACCTGCATGTAAATACAGCTACAGCTCATGAGTGCAATCTGATCTGAACAATCTGTGATTCAAAAGCATATTTAGGCAACTGATGAGGTTTATAGATAGTGTTATGCCATATTATGTGAAACTGATGTACTGTATTGAGTAAATCATGGTGACTACATTCATAGAACACCCTAAACTGACAAGGCTGAGTAGCTTTGTTTTTTAGAGCCTTCTAGATAGGGACCTGTATCATCTTTGGTCCTCTCTAGGATGCTGCTGCCCCAGGCAGAGCTGGGTCACAATCTTGGGGTCCTTCTGGACTCACAATTCCTAGCTGAGAAACAGGTGACAGCCATGGCCAGGAGGGTCTTTGCACAACTATGTTGTGCACCATTTCTGGACCGTGAGGCTCTGCTCACAGTTACTCTTGCCCTAGTGACTAGTTACTTCACACAGACTATGGTAACACATTCTACATAAGGATGTCCTTGTATCCAAAAGCTTTAATTGGTGTAAAATGCAGCACAGACAGTTATGTCTGCCCTTAAGAAAACACACATTTCTGCTTTATGAGCTGTATTGATTGACGGTTGGCTTCTGGGTAAACTTCAAAGTGCTGGTTTTGACTTTTACAGCCCTACTTGGCATGGATACAGGTTATCTAGGGGACTGCCTCTTCCCAATTATATCTACCCATCCCATCAGGTTCTGGTGGGAGAGGCGTGTTATAGGTCCCATCTGTGAATGATTTCCATCTGATGGGATCTAGGAGGCAAACCTTTTCTGCCATGGCATCCACCATCTGGAACATCATCCCTCCTGATGATTAGCTCAACCCTTATTGCCTTCCAGAAAGCCTCTTTTTTTCAACAACCTGTGAATTCCTGGTGATAGGAAGCCCACCTGTTGACTGTATTATGTGTGATATTTCCCTGCTCATGCATTTATTGTAATATATGTTTATGTTTTACTGTAAGAGTAGGTTGCAGCAAACAAATTTAATAAATAAATAATTGGTATTATACCGAGTAGGTTTTAATAACAGATTTTATTGTATTTCACCCAGTCACTTCATGTAAGACAGGCAGCGGTTTAAATTTGACAGATAAACAAATTACCATATTGTGTGAAGTTGGCCATTATTTGGTTTTGACTTAATGCAAAATCTGTGAATTTAGCCATAGTAACTTATAAAGTATGGCTTTCAGCTTTAATTTTATATAGTTTGTTCACTAAACCATGATTAAAGCAAAACATGGATCTGTAAATGCTTAATGCTTATCTCCCCGTATTTTCTCCAATACTTCTGTATTTTGGATTTGAATTCCATTCATAACTATGATTTCTACTCTTACAGGCCATGTCCCAAAGGTGCTTTTTCAAGAAGCAGTTGGACTTACTTGTTTTCTTTGAAGATGTTTTGCTTCTCATCCAAGAAGCTTCTTCAGCTCTGAGCTGCTCTGAGGTGAAGAAGCTTCTTGGAGGAGAAGCGAAAATTTTAAAAGAAAAACAAGGAAGTCCAATTGCCTCTTGAAAAAAGCACCTTTGGGACAACTATGCCCTTGATGACTGAGAATCTCCATAGACACTTAACAGGCCAAGCTTACTCTGGAAAAGCCTGTGGAAGCTTGTTTTGTCTTCCATTCTTTTTTACTGAAGTAATCCATCACAGTGCTGTATTGCTTTTTCTGATTTTGCTTCAGGTTTCTCCGACTCCTGGGCGTTCTACCCTGGAAATGCTCTCTCTTTCAGCTCTTCTTTATTGTGCTGTTACTGGGTTTTCTCTCCCTGCTGTGGCTGCAGTTCAGTTGCTCAGGGGATGAGCCTAGAAGTCAAACAGCTGAGGCAACGGTGCCTCAAAAACCATGTGTACTTGAGCCTCTACCTTCGATTCCTGATGATCCATCATGGGGACCACATCGCTTGGCAGTGTTAGTTCCCTTTCGAGAACGTTTCGAGGAGTTGTTGACTTTTGTTCCCCATATGCATCGCTTCCTCAGCAAGAAGAAAATTCGTCATCGTATCTTCATTCTCAACCAGGTGGATCATTACAGGTATTTTACAATCTGAATAATTCAGAATCAATAGCAGTAATAGCAATAGCAATAGCAGTAGACTTATATACCGCTTCATAGGGCTTTCAGCCCTCTCTAAGCGGTTTACAGAGAGTCAGCATATNTTGCAGCTAAGGACAAGCTGAGTGAGCTGCAGTTGCGTGTTCGCCAGCTTCTGGAGCAGATAGAACAGATCCAGAAAGAACAAAACTACCAAAGGGTAAGAAAGGCAGGATTATAGCTCTGTGGCAGTTCAACCTGCCAGATGTGCAACTGCCACATGAACTTTTATCCTTTTAAAGAACTAGGCAACAGTTAGCAAGGAAATTTTTCGTGAGATAGGGGACCTTAAAATATCTTAACTGTTGGATGAGGTCAGGACCCATATTAGTCTGGCATTTTGGTTCTCTTACAAACCCTCATTCATCAAGCAGGTGTTGATCTTTTTACAGTTGTTGCTCTTCTGCAAGACAACTGATGCCACAATTTATTTTATATTTCATTTTATCTGTGTTAATTTGTAATAAACCAGGAAAAGGGATCTTTGTAAATGTAATGTATGGGGGGATTGCCCAGATGTGTAGTGTTTTACACTTATTTACATTTTTATTGTGTTGCCCAATTATTCAGTTAAAGAGATCAGTCTTGTCTTCTCACAAATCATATTTGAATTTCGCCACCACCATCATCCTTAATAATTTGATGTAATCTGCAAACCTGGCCAACTCCCGGCTTACCCTAAGTCATGTTTGTCATGAACAGGTTAAAAGGCAACAGTCCCAACCCAGATCTTTGTGGGACTTGCGACTCTTACCATTATTCATTGAGAAAATTGTCCACTTATTCTGACCGCTTGGTTTTGTTCTTTAATCAGTGAGGAATTCTCAAAAAGATAAGTTCTCTCATTTCACTAAGTTTACTCGGGAATCTTTAATAAGAAACTTTTGCAAGGCTCTTTGAAAGTTAAAGTTTTGACTAGAGAAGTTCTTCTAGTTAGAAGACTAGGCTAGATGAATAGACGAAGTTCTAAAGTTGGGGAAGAGGCCTAACTCTTTGGAGGAAGTATCATAAAGAAATTGGTCACCCCACACACCTTATCATCCTGAGGGTATTGGTGAAGATATGCACAGTTTTCTATATTTTGCCCCAAACTCTCCATGAAAATATATCCCATTGTATTTTAATGTTGTTTCAATAATATTTTCCCTCTTTTCTCAGTGGCGAGAGGAGCGTTTCCGGCAAACCAGTGAAAGCACAAACCAGAGGGTTCTCTGGTGGTCCATAGTCCAGACTCTCATTCTTGTAATCATTGGAGTTTGGCAAATGAGACACCTCAAGAGTTTCTTTGAAGCCAAGAAGCTGGTATAAAAAGAGTAATATCAGCTCAAAGCCTGCATTTCTCCCAGGAACAGTTCCTGGCACTTCAGGTGTCTGCGTTGATCTTCTCTTCTCTCATTGGCCCTTTCCACCAGACTGGTCACTTGCCAGGTTCTGTGCCATCTACCTCCCACTGTGCCAGCTCTTCTTCCTCCTTCAACATGTCAGCCTGTGGTGATCTCAGTGCAGTGTTTTGGTCCCAGGAAGATGCTGCCTTCTTTCCAGATAGTCAAGACCAGCTCCCTTCTCTAGCTCTACATGAAGATTGTGTTTTGTATTTGCAGAGAGGGGAGGAAGGCACCATGTCTTCAACTTTTCTCCTGACTAAATATGTTCTTCAAAATTAGACTCTTCTGAAAGGCGATTGGAACTTTGTGTAGCCAGTTTCACAGTATATCAGAACCAAGAAAACTTGCTATTTTTAACTGTGTTGTATATGTATTAGCACTGATTTCTAAATACCACCAGTGCATCACTCAGGAGAATGTTTTGAATAAGAAGATCTGGAGGC